ACAGTAAAATCAAACTCCTCAAAATTGATTTAATTTTTATTCAAATAAAACCTCAAACACTTAATTATTCAAAAATACAAACATGCAGACTGAAATGTACTAATTGACCTTTCAATTGATACATATGTAATTAAAAGGGTGGGGGACTGTCCTGACCGTTACCACTTCTTAGTCAGAATATGGATTTTGAAATATAATTCATAAAAATCTTTTAAAGATGGCAGACACAGCTTTTACACAGACTTAATCAAACTTGAAGGTAAAAACTATCATCATGAATCTTGAAAGTGTTATTTTGTATCTTTCATTTATTTACCACAAAATGATAGCATTTTTCTAAAACATTATTATGTATATAGCTTTCAACAGGTAAAATTGTCTAAAATAAACATCAGCTACTAAGCCCAGAACATCTTTTGATGACACCAGCATAAAGAGGAGTGTTTCATGTATTATCATGAATTAATTAGAGCAGTCAATTAACACCAGTAACGGTTAGGACAATAGTGGTAATGGTTTGGACAGGAATGGTAACGGGCTGGACATAAGCCTTAAACAGTTTAATTCAACATAGAAACAGGTAACATGAAAGGAAAAATATGATATCATTTACTTGAACTGCTAACCCTATTTTGGACAGACAGTGAAATGTGTAATAGAAATTGTAACTCGTAACTAATATGACATGTTTTCTTCCATGCTGTGGTAACGGTTTGGACATTTGTTATATCAATATAAAACTTGTGAATGAATTTAGGCTTTTGAATAAAAACAAACTGTAGCTTCTAAAGAATAGAAAAACATACCTGTCTAGACTGAAAATCACTTATAATCTAAAGAAGAGTGCAATTGGGGAACGAAAATTGAATGAATAGTAACGGTTGTGACATTATTGGTAACGGTCAGGACATCAGTGTAACAAACAAATGTTATCCCTCTAAAATGTTGCAAAAGATTAAATTCTGAAAGGTACTGCAACAACTATGATACTGTACACATGGTCATGCTACACAGGCCACTGCACAGATGTCATTTTGCTGTTGATATTATGGTGCAATATTAGTCTCCACGAAATATACTTCTTTCATTCACTTGGATACCTTTAGCTTTTGTTGATAGTGAGATGGTAACACATATTTATCAAATACAAAGGCCAACATATTAGCACCTATCAATATTCTAAGTAAATGGTAGTCTTACATATCTCACAAAGTCAAAACAGACAACATCAAAACAAACTTTAAAGGTTGGAATACAATTAAGTTGTTTACCGTTACTACATTTTGTCCTAACCGTTACCTTTAATTCATAAAGACTATAGATCTTATAGAAAATAGAAATTTAAAGTGATAAATTCGTTTTGGTTTTTATTATCAAAAGCAGATAGATAAGTAAATAGAAATTTATTATCACACCATAGAACATATTCTTCAAAATTGAAATTTATTAAAGAAATGTCCCGACCGTTACTATTATTTGTCCAAACCGTTACTAGAGACTGTGTTTTTTATGCTACTACATCAAAACTCCTTTGAACAGTACAAGTCCATGCTTAAACTATCTTAACTCTTAAAGAAATTATAAATTTGTTATACTTCAAATATTAATGAATAACTTTTTGAAATGCAAATCATTTTGTCCTGACCGTTACAAGGACTGTCCAAACCGTTACTTTGCAGAATGGTAACGGTTTGGACAGTAACGGTCAAGACAATTTGTAAGTAAATCTTAAATAACAAAATGAATGATCCCCCTAAAAGATTTCAAAGGACATGCCTTCCACCTCTTCCATTTCTGGGCACCATATCCATTGAAATTTAAAAAAAAAGAGATACATATTTGACACAAAATACACTGGTAACGGTCTGGACAGTTAAGGTTGACACATAACATTTATACTTATTTGACAGTGTCAGTTTTCTTCAAAATGTATTGAATCTCTTTATTTCATCTGCTGTCACATCCACAGGGGCTAGCTCAAACAGACACAGGAAGTAGTATTACAATCCAGCTCCAGGGAGATATTATTGCAGGAATTTCATACACTGGTAACGGTCAGGACACAGAATCACAGGACAAGCATGTTACAATTTGTAGAAAAAAAAACTTTTTTAAGTTAAAAATAATTGAAATGCAGTCTGAGTATGCTTGATCAATCCTAATTGGCATAATATGAATTAATTTGTTTATTTGCATTTATATTTACATTATTTGTGAACATTGATATTAGGACCGTCACATCCGGACGGAGCAAATCTGCCAATTTTGACCCCAAAATGTGGTTAAGTATTAATTTCAAAATGACAAGACTAATGATATACCACATTTACTGACTAGTAAACATCTAAATATGTTTTCTTGAACAAAATAATCCTTTTATACTCACAGATTTTTTTTTTATTCGGAACGGACAGAAAATCCTACCAATTTTGAAAATGACCCAAAACACGCTTCTTTTCAGCCAGGCGGTATATACACATTAGTCTGTCCTGCACAAACGGCTTCATTCATTTCACACTGAGCACGCCCAGATATACCCCAGATATATCGTATTCAAACAGAACAAAAGGAAATTATACAGTTGTGTGCTACAGTCAAGCGGGTTCTATAGTTGGTGTTTATTCTGTGGAATATCGGAGCAAGGTTTCTTCATGAATTATATATTCCACTGCAAATGATTGGCAAGAAGGGTACATGTAGTCTGTCTCACAGTCCCTGAACCGTCCTATTGTGTGCTATAGTCAAGCCTTGTTCTATAGTTGGTGTTTATTCTGTGGAATATCGGAGCAAGGTTTCTTCATGAATTATATATTCCACTGCAAATGACTGGCAACAAGGGTACATGTAGTCTGTCTCACAGTCCCTGAACCCCACTATTGTGTGCTATAGTCAAGCCTTGTTCTATAGTTGGTGTTTATTCTGTGGAATATCGGTGCAAGGTTTCTTCATGAATTATATATACCACTGCAAATGACTGGCAACAAGGGTACATAGTCTGTCTCACAGTCCCTGAACCGCACTATTTCCCCTACTGCTCAACCCTCCTTGCAATGCTAAAGCCTTAAATGAAGCAAGTCTAGATTCCCCCAGGTTCTGAATTTCCCATCTGACTGGGGCTCCTTTTCAATGGGTTTATTTGGTGCTATCAAAATGATATATATATTGGAGACTAAGCGTTAGTCTAAGGTACATGTGACACAGACATATACGTCACAGGAGTATACATCTACATGCCGCAGATAGCATGGAGATAACTCGTACATTATAGTTAAACGGATGACTAGTTTTACTCACCTTGTCAATATAAGGTATTCCGACCGTCCTTTACGTACCCTATCCGACCATCAGTAAGCTCATTATGAAACTGGGTTAGTTTTGTTTCATTACATATTTCCCAACGTTCCAAAATAATGTCTTTCTGTGTAGCACATTTCCCCGCGATAGCAAAGTACAAGACGCATGTGCAGTGTAGATATACAAATGTGAATATACCCCGACCAGGAAGTAATATAGGATCTCGCACTATCAATGACAACGTGAACATGTCGGCCGAAGGCGTACTTTTGTAATAATCTCAACCATATTCTCGATAGGGGCTCAATGACCGGAGGGCTGGCACGGGAACGTGTAGAAGCAGCACTTCTGAGGTTTGCATGGTCGAACAGAAAGACGAGAGTACATGGTGTTTAGTGAACCGGCAAAAACTGAACGTCGTCTACGTGTGACGTAATTTTATAGGAAGATGGCAAGGGGATTTGTATGTGTTCCTGGGCCGAGGCTGTTTCTGTGAAATAGGAAGTACTGAATCCCAGTTTGATTAATGTCATTGCCCCTGGTGTCGTTATTTATATGTATTGATCACGACAGGTTCTTGCTGGGTTGGCCAAATAGATTGTCAAGAGCAATTATTCATTAATTTGTATCTTTATGGTTGCGGTCCAATGTTCCAATTTGATGAATAGTTTAAGTGCCGATCAATTTAGCTTCGAAAATATAGGCCCAGTCGAATGAAAATCTGATGTTTCTTCATACAGCGGGGGCGGTGGGGTAGCCTAGTGGTTAAAGCGTTGGCTCGTCACGCCGAAGTGAAATGCAATGTTACAGAAAAAATGCATGAAATATCAGCGTCAGAGAACCGTACAGGGTCCCGTGAACATCCGGCATAGAATTTGTCCTCAGCGTGACTCAGTGTTCAGGCTCCCAGAGTTGGGACTGATGTCATCGTATCGTATCGTCACATGGCTGGAATATTATTAAACAACGACGAAAAGAAAACATCCCAAACGCAATGCGTCTGCAAAATGCGGAAATACTTATGAATGCACTTAAACAAAGACTAAGGATGCGCATGCTCAATCCCGATTCAAAATCAGAATGGAGTGTTGTTACCGTTAGTGTTAGAGAACCTGTAATTAAAACCTGAAATGTACATTAGAATTATTAAGATAAAATGTTTAAATTGAGAAATATTTAATAAATAAGGGTGACATATGTTGCAGGTTGCTTACAATACGCGATACTCATCCGTATCACCACCAATCCATCCCCAGCTTTCATAAGTGCAATAGGGGCGGTGGGGTAGCCTAGTGGTTAAAGCGTTGGCTCGTCACGCCGAAGACCCGGGTTCGAATCCCCACATGGGTACAATGTGTGAAGCCCATTTCTGGTGTCCCCCGCCGTGATGTTGCTGGAATATTGCTAAAAGCGGCGTAAAACTAAACTCAGTCAGTCAGTCAGTCATATGTAGCGATGGGGTTGTGTTGGTTACAACAGAGACCATATGATAGATCTATTATGGTCTCTGGTTACAAACATTTAATGTTAATTTTAACAATGTTCTGTGTCATAGACGAAATAGAGAAATCCCTTGTGCTTTAAATGAGTTGGGTTCTACCCCGGAGGAAAGGGAAATATCAACAAGATAGCTCTTTCTAAAGTTTCGTGCCTTTAGGAAATGTTATTAGTGGTAATCCAATTTCGCACGCTTATCTCCCTTTGGTGGAAAGAAGACACGGAAAACCTGCTCAAACGAAAACAAACATTTGTGGTTCATAGTTGGGGTGTATTGGTATGTTGAATTTTACTCGTGCTACGCAAAAGCTTTTTGGATGTGTGTTAATGTAGTGCATTTTAGAAGCATTTTATAAAATAATGCACTAAACGCTTGTTATGATACATTGATAGGCAGAGCGGTGCAATGAAATGAATCCGATCGATGGTCACAGTCCATAACTTCTTTGAGTGGCTGTTTTAGAGGTTGGAGAGTCAGATATGGACAATAATTGACAATATGGATGAGCAACTTTTTATTCAGGCGGTGCGACAGGCGGTGCGACATGGTTTATTCAGGAACTGATAATAGATATACAATATGTTGTGGTAATAGATATGTACAATCACAGACCATATTAAATGGTCTCTGGTACAATTTATCTAGCCGACAGAGCTATACCATGGGCAGATCCAGGAATTTTGAAAGGAGGGGGTTCAAGGGGTTAGAACCCCCTGAACCTCCCATAGGCTCCGCCAACGCAAAAAAAAATCTTCGATGTGATCTTAAGTCATTTTCAAAAAAGAGGGGGGTCCGACCCCCCTCCCCCCTTCTGGATCCGCCAATGTATAACGTTAGATTATTTGATTTTTTCAATGATACTGTCTTTTGTTTACAAAACTTCACAACTTTTAAGAATCGACTTTTTGAAATAAATATCTGAAACCCATTTCTGGTGTCCCCTGCCGTGATATTGATGGAATATTGCTAAAAGCGGCGTAAAACCATACTCACTGTGATTTATGTATGTTCATATGTTAGTGAAGTATTTTAGCTAAGTGTGTTAAGTGAGAAAACAACAAGTGAGTCTGAAAATCCAAAAGATACTTATAGTACCAAATGCTAAATATTTTATTGAGACTATGCCAGCCATTCAATCACTCTGACATTTTCCTTGTAACTTTCTCAGCTTGTTCCCCAGTGAACAAGATCATTGTCATTTTTAAATGTGTTCATTTTGTTGATGACATGCTGAATATTTTCAGGAATGTCAAAATATTTCAGAGTATTTATACTTCAAACCAAAGAAGGGACGGTGGGGTAGCCTAATGGTTAAAGCATCCTCTAGTCATGCTGAAGACCCAGGTTCGATTCCCCACATGGGTACAATTCGATTCCCCACATGGGTACAATGTGATTCCCCACATGGGTACAATGTGTGAAGCCCATTTCTATTGTCCCCAGCTGTGATATTGCTGGAATATTCCTAAAAGCGGTGTAAACCATGCACACTCACTTACTGCAGACAGTGTTCAGACATCTTACACTCAATAAATCGTTGCATTACTGTCGCTGACAGTTTTCTTTTAAAATTATGACTATGAACTTGTTGTCGTATGTTTTATAAAAGCACAACAACTTCATGATTCCATGCAACATAAGTTAGATTTTCCTTGTAGTCCTCAAACTTTTCAAAGCCTACTATAAGCAGGACGACAAACTCCACCATCGCAGCTTTGTTGTGGTATAGGATGATCTGTCACATACTGCAGCTGCAGTGCACGCATTCCTGAAGGTCATCCTTCCTATAAACTCAAATGTCTGGATCCAGAATTGAAGACTATTCATTACTGGACTGGAGAAGTCAATACCGCAACAACCAAATGTTCTTCACGACCGCAAACCATCTTGAGATGTTTGGGACTCGGAAAAAATGCACGTTGGAATTAGTTTGAGGTAGGGCACGGTAAGGGGCCGTGCGATGGACTCGGAGGAACCACAAATAGAATGGCAGATGAAGCAGTGAGAAGTAGACCAGCAGTTACAGGATGCAATGGATTTCATGAAATGGGCTGAAAACTCAACAATGAAAGATGTTCAGTTTCTGTATGTCTCTTCAACAGACTGTCAAAGGGAACAGGCTGTACAAGCATCAAGACCAGTGAAGGTCCTCAAAGGAACATTTGCTGTTCATTCTGTCACAGGTCTCGGCAGTAGCAGTCTGTAGCGTCAGTTGGTACTGCGAGATCTGTTTGGATGGAGACATATGTTCATCCTGGAGAAAGGAATGCCTCGTGACTGGTGCTGTTCAAAATAATGCAGTGGAGACTCAGAGGAATAATGCAGAGAGGAATGCAGCAGAGTCAAGGGCACCCGTGATCACCCAGTCTCTGCACTGTGAGTTCAGCATGACGACTTCGTTGGTGCAGTATATGAGTGAAACTGGTATGTAGGAATGGTCTTAACCATCAATGATGAAGATGGAGAGATGGAGATCAGCTTTCTCCTAAGAAAGTAGAATATGTTTCAATGGCCAAACAGAGAGGATGTCATTTGGGTTTGAAAGGACGATGTCCTCTGCAAACTTGATGCCCCCTTTCCTAGTGGCAAGTCAAAGAGAATGCTGAAGATAAGGGTGTCAGATTCTACCCTCATAACATCCACTTTTGAGGCAAGATTTGCATCAATGTAATGTACGTTACACAGACAGTAAGGCATAGCTGCTTGTTGTCTTTTTCAAGGTTTAAGACATTCATTTGTTTACCGTTGTTGTTTATCATTGATTGAAAAGGACTATTTTGTATTAGTTTAATCAATATGGGTAGGTATCATTGACCAAATTCATTTTTGAAATTTTTGAGTTTTAGTAATAATGTATGTTACTGATTACATTGGATTGAAAAGTGAAAGTTGCATTTGTTTAGATAAGACGATTGACCTTTGACCATTGCCATTAAAGACACAAATGGTTTTCTAAAATAGAACAATGAATTTGGTTTGATGCAACCCTTCGTTATTTCTTAAGTCAAAAAACATTTATAAGGTTTTATTAAATGGAAATGAACAAATGTGTCAATAAAAAGCACATGATTTCAACTGATCTTGGTGTTTTTCATATACCTCTTGTTGTTTTCAAAATCATTCCTCTTTTGTTTTGTACATATATTATAATAAGAAACATTATTTCCAAAGGTGTATGTATAAATAGAATAGTTAAAAAGCACAAATCCTTCAATAGGAACCCAAATCACATACATTTCAGGAGCAGTTTATGTGGTATTTACGTCCCAAATGAGATGCTAAGTGACAAAAAAATTGAAAGCGAGTTATATCCTGTTCCTTTTGGGAAATGTTACATTAGGTATTGAATATTTTGAAAATGAAAGACTCTTTATCATAAATAACCTTTGGTTTTTCTAAGGCTGCATATATCAATTGCAACGATTTATTGAGAATGAGTGCTTAATGACAAGTATAATACCATAATATAAACCTTCCTTTGTGATGGCGAGCACACAACATGCTGACCTTTGGCTTTGTTCTTCTTCCTACAAATAAAACCCAACACGACTTGGCAATTATTTGAAAATATCAACTTTTCCCAATGGTCGTTATTTGTTCATTACTTTCTTTTCTGACACAATTTCATATGCTTTTGTTAGTTTACATTATGCTAAAAAAATCTTCCAGGCATGTCTAAATGGTTCAATTCATTCTGGGCGGTGGGGTAGCCTAGTGGTTAAAGCGTTGGCTCGTCACGCCAAAGAACGAGGTTTGAATCCCCACATGGGTACAATGTGTGAAGCCCATTTCTGGTGTCCCCCGCTGTGATGTTGCTGGAATATTGCTAAAAGCGGCGTAAAACCAAACTCAGTCAGTCAATTCATTCTTGTTTTCTCTGGACCGTCTTTTCACAGTAAGTTTCCCTGATGTATCAATAGTTTTGTTGGTAATTTCTGGTAAAGTTGCCTTTCTGTTCTCTTTTACGGCCTTTGAAAGTTTAGTAACATTTCTGATGCCAAAAGATTTTTGATGCCAACTTTGTCCCCAGTTTTCAACTGAACACACTCGTCAATATAATCTGATAATGACTGTTGCCCTAGGTATGCCAGATATTCTTGCCAACTATGAATGATACCCGATATGTTTAAAAGCTTTTAGGGGTGGTGGCGAAGCCTAGTGGTTAAAGCATTTACTCGTCACGCCAAAGGCCTGGGTTCGATTCCCCACGTGGGTACATTGTGTGAAGCCCATTTCTGGTGTCCCCTGCCATGATATTGCTGGAATATTGCAAAAAGCAGCGTAAAACCCAACTCACTCACACTTAAATGCTTTTATAACTAGGTCTTGTTTAATCTGATCTCAATTTTGCTGATGTGCAACTATCATGATGGTTCAATAACTAGGCCCACCAGACAACATTAGCTGACTGGCTGGCTGTGATATTACTGGAATATTGTTAAAAGCAGCATAAAACTAAGCTCACTCACTCTTATTGAAATTTTTCTTGATTAGTGTAGCTTGGCTAACTAGAGATTGTTTATGTTCATCATTTAGCGTTACTAGGTAGTAAGGGAATTCCAAATTATACTTGCCAGGCTGGCATATTAGAACCCTTTTTTTCATAGGATGTGTTATACGATGTTCTCCGTACATTTTCCAAAGTATAAACATAAATGAATACTAGTACAGATACAGATGACAGGCTGAAGCTATTCATGTCATGATTTACATTTTACACATATCATTAAAGGGGAAGTGTACGTGAATAAATCACATTTATTCTTCTGTGAATCAAGTGTAAAATCTGAGATTGGCTTTGTTTACATTTCAAACAAGTGGTCCTTTCCCAGTGCGACATCTGATATATTTCGTTCGATTTCACATACATGTGACGTGATTTTATAAACACTCTGTAAAATGGCTGAAAATTCACTTTGACTTTAATTGTGTTTGCAAGCGTATTTTCCAAAACATTCTCAGCGATTCTCGGTTCATCGACAATGTTTCAGAACGAGCATTAGTGATTTGATCATACAACAACAAAACTACTGCTGATCACAATGATAGGTCTTTTTCTTTTAAATTCAATTCTCCCAGTAAAATTTGACATTTGAATTAAGACACGCAAAACGCAGTGAATGGTGATGTAGTAATGTGTCAAAACTGGCGAGATATACACGATGCATGTAATTTTCAGTATATTTGATCTACAATGAGCGGATGATATAGAAAAACGAATTTCAAACAGAGTTCAAAAGTGCAAATTGCATTTATTTTCGTGATGTACATGGATATGGTATCGATATCAAAGTGAAGGTGGAAGAGGAGGGACATATTGTACGATTTAAGTAGGAATTTTAGTAATAAACGTAGAATGCCGGCACATTCGCAGATGGCAAGCTAGATGTAGTGCACATTTTAGTTTTTGTGAAAAAGGATACCGTTGAAAAGGTGACCGACACAGGTTGAATGTTATACAATTTGGTTATGTGGTAACACATTTAGTACAATGTATACGTTTTTTCAAACTGCAACGTCATTACAGTGTAGAACTGATGACATAGCCAGCTGACGGCCAGGCAACAGGTGGATTAAAACAGTAGCCTGCGCATCGAGACACAAGAACCGCACCTATAGCTGCACCACGTGAAATGGGTCTAATAAGGTCTAACGACGTCATTCGTTTATCATTTGGGCACCAATGACGTCATTTCCAAGGGACATAAGCCATGGTGTGTTTATTGTGGACACAGAACTTCCGGTAAATGTTGAAAATATGAATTGATATAACGCAAAAAATAATTTAGTTACTTTTGATATATGTACGGGTTTGGATATAAAACTATTTGACAAACATTTTTCATGATGAAAAAGTGCAAGACAAAAAGGTTTATTTTCGTGTACACTTGCCCTTTAACTTAATAAATATCAGAAGATATTATATCCAATTATATGACATGAAAGATTTTTTTGAGTGGTTCAGAATACAGGATATGCTTTGTACATTTCCCAAAGTATAAACATATAGGAATACTAAAATAGATACAGATGACATGCTGAAGCTATTTGTGACATGATATACACATATCAGAAGATATATCCAATTTTATGACATGAATACTTGAGAGATTTTTTGGGTGGATCAGAATACAGCACAATCATAGAATATATTGCAGGGATTTACAGGATGTGAATTCCTGCATCATATACACAAAAAAATTGAAAACGGACGCAACAAAATTAATTAGTGCATCAACAGGGGAACAGAAAAAATCCAAATACTTTTTTTTAAATGTCGACCAAGTAACAAGTATTCTACTAGCCGGGTTATGGTATCATTTGCAATTTAATTACTGTAACAATGTGATGATCATGTTACACAATACAATAACAGTAAGTGAATTACAACAACATTGCAACATAGTATTAATAATAATATTTAAGTGTCTGGGACCCCCATTTTGTAGGGTAGGACCCCTGAAAATTAAGAGTAAGAGTCCCATGGACCCTCAAATACAAGACTCAAGGTAAATCCTTGTATTGGACATATTGGAAAACTTGGTAAATAATACTTTTTGAAAATCAATATGTAATAATGATAATTGAAACATGATGTGGATACATTCCATGGTACTCGTCCCATGTATCCTATCATAGGTTTTCGAATTATCATTATCATATGCGTGATACTCACATTGTATAATGATTGTGATTTTTATTGCAGAAGCCAGTAAACATGCTGGCTGTCCTTGGGCCATTCACAGGATCATGGTTTCATGCCACATGGGCCGGTGTCTTCAAGGCATCTTCTTGGTGACTGGGGTCCTGTCTATCGTCTCAATCCTCTACGTCAACAACATAATATCCCATGGTGTAACTATCAGGCCCACACAGATTGCAGGTCAGTTGGTGAAGTGAGCGAGTTGAGACACAAGGGAGATAACTCTGCACAGCAAATTGAAAGATTAGGATGTCTAAACCACAGGGGCTTGTATTGCTGAAAATAATACGTCTTAAGTCCAACAGTCGTTCCCAGATAGCCATCTACAGAGAAATAAGTATTTAATACAATCCCCTCTGGTCTAAACAGATGACGCAAGTTGTTGTTTTTGAATAATAGTCTCCGTTTATGAAAGATGCAGTTGTATGAAAGATTATGACTTCAACAGTGTTTTAGGACAAGCTTAAAGGAGATGCTCATCTTTCTGCTTTGGCTTAATATGTCGGAGGGATGATGCACAGTAAATTGTCATTTCTGAATCATACTTTTACCCCAAAACCCACCAAATTATATATGTGCCTGATAGTAAATGTCCAACAACCCTTCCCTTCATTTCATGAAGACAAACATGTGCCTGATAGTAAATGTCCAACAAGCTTGGCCCTTCCGCCATTTCATGAAGACAAACATGTGCCTGATAGTAAATGTCCAACAACCCTTCCTGTCACAGACAAAACTCATTTCCAAACATGTGCCTGATAGTAAATGTCCAACAACCCTTCCCTTCATTTCATGAAGACAAACATGTGCCTGATAGTAAATGTCCAACAACCCTTCCCTTCATTTCATGAAGACAAACATGTGCCTGATAGTAAATGTCCAACAACCCTTCCCTTCATTTCATGAAGACAAACATGTGCCTGATAGTAAGCATGTCCAACAACCCTTCCCCTTCATTTCATGATGAAGACAAACATGTGCCTGATAGTAAATGTCCAACAACCCTTCCCTTCATTTCATGAAGACAAACATGTGCCTGATAGTAAATGTCCAACAACCCTTCCCTTCATTTCATGAAGACAAACATGTGCCTGATAGTAAATGTCCAACAACCCTTCCCTTCATTTCATGAAGACAAACATGTGCCTGATAGTAAATGTCCAACAACCCTTCCCTTCATTTCATGAAGACAAACATGTGCCTGATAGTAAATGTCCAACAACCCTTCCCTTCATTTCATGAAGACAAAAAGTACAGACTCATGCATTATTAGCAGGCTTGCTTGTCTCTGCTTTTAGGTGTGCTTTCACTTGTTTCAGTTTTTGGAGAATACCTTGCTTGACTTCTTGGTCACCAGGTATTTCGATTGTAAAACGAGCACATCGCTTACTGGATCCATCTTGTGAGGAAATCAGTATGGTCAGCCAGATAATGAGAGATGTCAAGTTTATTCTGATAGTAGGAGTCAATGAAGTATGATCTGACCCACAAGTTAGCATACTAAAACTAAACAAGGTTCATTTCAGGCTTTTGGGGTTTGGGTTTTGAAAAGTACAGAATGTTATGTTATTACTGCATTTTAGAGAATCTTTGTTATTTTAAAGAATTTAGGACATCAAAGGTTTACTATAGAAGATACTAGTAATTAAATTTGCCTACTTGATGTGTTGATAATAATAACAAGGAACCAAGCCAATATCACCCCTCTGGGGGGAATCAGGCATACTGTAAAACATGGAGTGGAGTCTTGGAGTGGGCCGGAGTCTTGGAGTGGAGTCTCGGAATGGAGTCTAAATGTAAATATTTAGGTGACCGAGTTTGTTTTGTTTTGATCATAAGGGTAGCTATACAAGCACATTCATTTCACATCTGTAGCTGGTTGGTGTTATCAGTTTTATCAGAAGACAGGAGGCATTTTGTATACACGTATCAATTAGCCCTGTCAACTCCAGAAATATCATTCTGTAACAGTACCACGCTGCCACCAAGAAGAAAAATGTATATGAATAGATGGAAGGATGGATGAATGGATGGATGGAGAAGCATGTAAATTATTTACAACCTGTAAACAAAATATTAATAATGGCATTATTTATTAGCCCAAAACGACACATATAACATTGTCACATGTAAATTCAAATTTGAGTAGAGGAAGCGGCAGTAAGGGAAAAGGTACATATATTAGGTCTATGCTAAGACATACTAATCATCAGGGAATATAATAGTTATTATTGCATGAATTATTTATTTCTTACTTGACAAAGAATTGATTACATAAGATACATAGCACTATGTTATTCAAGAACTAGATTTATTGTCAGTGATGGCAAAAGTAACTGTTCCTAAGTCATAATTGTTTTGCTTTTTGTTCAGAAATAGCCATCTCTCTACATCCTTGAACTTACAAACAAAAAGCAAAAATAAATGCAGCAGAATATTTTGCAAGCTGATTATTAGTGAGTTTCATCAGCTCTCAATGGCTTCGAAAATCTTGACTTTCTGTCGGGTTATGTATGGGCAGTCCACTGGAATGTGACAGATTAGAGGAAACACATTACTGATACGATCTGCCCTCAGAATATCAGAGAGCTTAAGGAATGCTACTGATGATTGCCATGTAAACATTTTTACAATCTCGATTACGTTGCTGTCTACAAATGAAAGTATAATTGCACAGAGTTCGAATTTGTGACGATTTATTAATAAGTTTGGAGTAAACTGACAAGCATTAACAAACATTTCTACGAGAGCTGTAAAAAAGAAAGACTAATCTCTAAGATGAGTAAGATAAGATATTTACTTTTGAAACTGGTGATTCCGGAAGTATAAACGACAACTGGGAAGAACCATTAATGGCATATTCTAGACAGTAATCAGTGTTTACAGAAGTGACAAGTGCACTTATACTCCATGCTCCAGACTCCACTCCAAGACTCCACTCCAAGGCTCCGCTCCAAGACTCCACTCCATATTTTACAGTATGCTGGGGGGGGGGGGAATCAAGAGTTCCACTCAGTGTCAAGAGTTAAATCAGTGTACAACCGGCACAGCTGGGGGGTCAGGGGAGTGGAGGAGGGCATCAGTTTCACTGACTGCCTGGGAAGAAAGTGAAATATGATTCTGAAACCCTGAATGAAGCTTTAACTTTAACTTCCACTCAGAGGTCTGTTTCTATGGAGACGCACCTCCTCTGGCCTCCTGACTGATACAGTGGCAAATTCAAATCTGGATTTCAAAAAGAGATTATATATTTTTAAAATGCAGGTTTTGTACACTGTCTGCATCAACACTTTTTGCAGTGTGTCTTCATAACATACTTGTTTACACTATGGCTCTATTTCATCAAGAACTGGTAAGTCAATTTTGTGATATTCCATGGAATGTACTTGAATACTGCATTGCTTTGCATTGAAAGACAGCTTTGGCAAGGCAGGAGGCCACACCCCTTCTGTGTATAGGTTTGAACCCCGGCCTTTAAATGCTTTTAGTCGTGATGGGGTAGCCTAGTGGTTAAAGTAATCGCTCCTCACACCGAAGATCCGGGTTCTATTCCCCACATGAGTACATTGTGTGAAGCCAATTTGTGGTGTTCCCCGCCGTGGTATTGCTGGAATATTGCTAAAACTGGCGTAGAACCCAACTCACTCACTCACTATTACCATCTACACTCAGACTAGCTGATACATTGAGTCTGTATGTTTCTGCAGATTCTAGGTCCAAGACGTCACAGGACAGTGATAGCTGCGAGCGATGTCTGAGACCGGTGTCAAGAGATGGGGTGGAGGACCTCTTCTGCATGGTGAGAGAGAGAAATGACCAATGACCACCGCTTACAGTTAAATGAGTAAAAGACCATTTGTTTTCAAACACTATTTAATCTTCCTAGTCTCATGGCAGACATGAAAACAAGTTTTCCTTACACAAGTTCTGTTTCAGGACCGACCTAATTACTTGAAACAGCTGAAGAACCCATGCTGGTTTGAGAAATCCAAGCTTCGATGTTTGCCATACTTTCATATCCTGGGCTGTGCCAAGTGTGCTACGACTGACTTGAGCAGACGCATCACCCTCCATCCAGACATCATAAACCCTGATGCACCGTTTGATAAGGAAGCCTTATGGTGGACTTGGAGGAAATATGGTATTCTTTCACGTTCAGTCGAGAAAGAAATTCCAGGGATACAAAACACAATAAGTTCGTAATTAACAGAATTAATTTCTCTTAATCCTGGTGCCTGGCAACTCTGGACATTTTGTAGAAAATCAGTTTCAGTTTACACACAGGGCTATGGTGGAACATGTTTTCTCTGGTTTGTCCTTGGCAATGGTTATTGGGTCCTTTGATGGTTGTTGGGTTCAAATAACATCAATTATGTTTCAGAACCTGAACTTGAAATAATGTTTGAGGTAAGTCCATACACATTAAAGTGTTTAATGGACCAGTCAATCGACCAGCGATGTTTGGTTTTCACTGCAATCTCAATGAAATCAGACATTTTTCTGCAGTGTAATGCCAGAGTGAAAATGTGACATACCTTACATAGTGGTAATACCCGAGGCAGCTTGTAAGCAAAACCTTGTAGAAGTATCGTACTGAAGTGCATAGAGGTATCGAAGTGATGTGCATAGAGGTATTGAACTAAAGTGAATAAATGTATTGTATTGAAGTGCATAGAGGCATCGTACTGAAGTGCAGAGAAGTGTATAGACGTATTTTACTGAAGTGCACAGACGTATTGTACAGAAGTGCATAGACGTATTGTACAGAAGTGCATAGAGGTATTGTACTGAAGTGCATAGAGCTATTGAACTGAAGTGCATATAAATATTGTACTCAAGTGCATAGAGGTATTGTACTTAAGTGTGTAAAAGTGTCATACTGAAGCGCACAGAGGTTTCGTCCTGAAATGCATAGAGGCATTGTCCTGAAGTGCATAGAGGTATTGTACTGAAGTGTGTAGAGGTATTGTACTGAAGTGTATAGAGGTATTGTACTGAAGTGTGTAGAGGTATTGTACTCAAGTGTACTGAAGTGTATAGAGGTATTGTACTGAAGTGTCTAGAAGGTATTTTACTGAAGTGCATAGAGGTATTCTACTGAAGTGCATAGAGGTATCGTACTGAAGTGCATAGAGGTATTGTACTGAAGTGTGTAGAGGTATTGTACTGAAGTGTGTAGAGGTATTGTACTGAAGTGCATAGAGGTATTGTACTGAAGTGTGTAGAGGTATTGTACTGAAGTGCATAGAGGTATTGTACTGAAGTGCATAGAGGTATTGTACTGAAGTGCATAGAGGAATCATACTGAAGTGCATAGAGGTATTGTACTGAAGTGTATAGAGGAATCATACTGAAGTGTATAGAGGGTATTGTACTGAAGTGTGTTGAGTATCATACTGAAGTGTGCAGAGGTATTGTACTGAAGTGCATAGAGGTATCATACTGAAGTCCATAGAGGTATCATACTGAAGTGCATAGAGGTATCATACTGAAGTGTATAGAGGTATCATACTGAAGTGCATAGAGAGGTATCATACTGAAGTGCATAGAGGTATTGTACTGAAGTGTATAGAGGTATCATACTGAAGTGTGTAGAGATATTGTATCATACTGAAGTGCATAGAGGTGTCATACTGAAGTGCATAGAGGTATTCTACTGAAGTCCATAGAGGTATTCTACTGAAGTGCATAGAGGAATCATACTGAAGTGCATAGAGGTATCATACTGAAGTGGATAGAGGAATCATACTGAAGTGGATAGAGGTATTGTACTGAAGTGGATAGAGGTATCATACTGAAGTGCATAGAGGTATTCTACTGAAGTGCATAGAGGTATTGTACTGAAGTGCATAGAGGTATTCTACTGAAGTCCATAGAGGTATTCTACTGAAGTGCATAGAGGAATCATACTGAAGTGCATAGAAGTATCATACTGAAGTGCATAGAGGAATCATACTGAAGTGCATAGAGGTATTGTACTGAAGTGGATAGAGGAATCATACTGAAGTGCATAGAGGTATTCTACTGAAGTCCATAGAGGTATTGTACTGAAGTGCATAGAGGTATCGTACTGAAGTGCATAGAGGTATTGTACTGAAGTGTGTAGAGGTATTGTACTGAAGTGCATAGAGGTATTGTACTGAAGTGCATAGAGGTATTGTACTGAAGTGTGTAGAGGTATTGTACTGAAGTGCATAGAGGTATTGTACTGAAGTGCATAGAGGTATCGTACTGAAGTGTGTAGAGGTATTGTACTGAAGTGTAGAGGTATTGTACTGAAGTGTATAGAGGTATTGTACTGAAGTGCATAGAGGAATCATACTGAAGTGTATAGAGGTATTGTACTGAAGTGCATAGAGGTATTCTACTGAAGTGCATAGAGGAATCATACTGAAGTGTATAGAAGTATCATACTGAAGTGCATAGAGGAATCATACTGAAGTGCATAGAGGTATCATACTGAAGTGCATAGAGGAATCATACTGAAGTGCATAGAGGTATCATACTGAAGTGCATAGAGGAATCATACTGAAGTGCATAGAGGAATTCTACTGAAGTGCATAGAGGTATTGTACTGAAGTGCATAGAGGTATTGTACTGAAGTGCATAGAGGTATCATACTGAAGTGTATAGAGGTATTGTACTGAAGTGCATAGAGGAATCATACTGAAGTGCATAGAGGAATCATACTGAAGTGCATAGAGGTATCATACTGAAGTGCATAGAGGAATCATACTGAAGTGCATAGAGGAATCATACTGAAGTGTATAGAGGTATTGTACTGAAGTGCATAGAGGTATCATACTGAAGTGCATAGAGGTATCGTACTGAAGTGTGTAGAGATATTGTACTGAAGTGTGTAGAGGTATTGTACTGAAGTGCATAGAGGTATTGTACTGAAGTGTGTAGAGGTATTGTACTGAAGTGTGTAGAGGTATTGTACTGAAGTGCATAGAGGTATTGTACTGAAGTGCATAGAGGTATTGTACTGAAGTGTGTAGAGGTATTGTACTGAAGTGCATAGAGGTATTTTGCTGAAGTGTGTAGAGGTATTGTACTGAAGTGCATAGAGGTATTGTACTGAAGTGCATAGAGGTATTTTACTGAAGTGTGTAGAGGTATTGTACTGAAGTGCATAGAGGTATTGTACTGAAGTGCATAGAGGTATCGTACTGAAGAGTGTAGAGGTATTGTACTGAAGTGTGTAGAGGTATTGTACTGAAGTGCATAGAACATTGTTCTGAAGTGCATAGAGGTATTGTACTGAAGTGTGTAGAGGTATTGTACTGAAGTGCATAGAGGTATTTTGCTGAAGTGTGTAGAGGTATTGTACTTGAAGTGCATAGAGGTATTGTACTGAAGTGCATAGAGGTATCGTACTGAAGTGTGTAACAGAGTCATATTGTACTGAAGTGTGTAGAGGTATGGGGTACTTGGTGAGTAAAGCGTTGGCATAGAGGTATCATGGGTCCTGAAATGCTGGTGTTTTTCTGGAATATTTAAAGCGGCGTAAAAGCCCTCAGAAGTCGGTCATTCCTTTGAGCATGGCAATGTTATTTTCAGTTGAGGTTGGGATGGGATGGGAGTATGTCTAAATTTATATTATACATCAGACTATATAACTGCTTCTCTTTTCATATGCTTTACAAAGTTTTACTTCTAGAAAGTGACTAATTTATTAAATGAATTTTAGATGATCTCGTAACCAATTTTGGGCAAATAAAGTCATTGTGAGTAAAGATGTTAATTTTCTTTCTTGAGGTTTAATCATTTATTTGAGTTGTACAGGGCTCCAGATAAGGGCCATATTGGTGTATGTACGGATAAAATATATGCAGGATAAGGTAGGAAATAATTTAGAAATGTAGCAGATACTCACAGCAATGGTGTATGGTCTTAGAATCATTTACAGATGTATTTATCTGAAAAAGTTTTGTTTTATTGTTTTTTCTACCTGTTTATACAAGAGTAGCAATGTTGTGGTGCATATATGAAATGAAACACAAGCTTACTGATACTCCATTAAATTCCATTCTGTACTCTAAATGTACTCTTTAAGTTTTTCCAGTACTCCTATGCTGAAAAAATAAGGAGTACGTACTCCTGATGTTGAAAAATTATCTGGAGCCCTGGTTGTATTTAAGGAATTGAAGTATCTATGAAATAGAAGAAGTTTATCCATAAATGTTGTCAATAGGTTCAATCATTGTTTAGTTAAATACTTGTCAGAAATCTAAAAAGAAATCTGTTTGAATTATGGTTAATAAGTGAGTGAGTGAGTGAGTGAGTTGGGTATTACTCCACTTTTAGCAATATTCTAGCAATATCATGGCGGGTGACACCAGAAATGGGCTTCACACTTTGTACCCATGTGGGGATTCAGATGGGAAAGGGCTTTACTTGTCATTAATAATTTCATAACTAACTGTTATGGTAACTTGGTTTTACAGGATATGTTGGTTACTCCCATGCACGGATACGTAAATTTAGACAGTATGTCAAAATATTTGACCCACTGGCTCACAAGCTGCAGACATCGATGAAGAGAAAAGAACAGAATTATTCCCACTTCATCACAAGTAAGTAGTCATTGATTTGGTTGTTTTTGTTATTGTTTAACGCAGCACTCACCATTATTCCAGCCATATGGCAGCGATTTGTAAATAATGGAGTCTGGACCAGACAATGCCGTGATCGACATCATGAGCATCATTCTGCACAACTGGATGTAGCCATTGAGGTGCATATGGCTACTGTGAGAGAGAGTCGGCTTTTGAATCATTACTGAACCAATGCCACAAGTAAAAGACAGTTGGCTTTGTCCTGCTTGCCCAACGTTTTTGTGTGAACAATGCATCCGAAAAATGTGAAAACAAAATAAACCAGAATACCCTTAAGAGTCTGTTGTTTAGCACTCTTGGCCTTGTCTCTCATACTTGTAAATGCATTATAAAGGGGTACAGCCCCCATAATCCACCTACTGTGCTCCTAAGACCGTGAATTCATCCTTGTTATTGTAAGTCTAATTGGTTCATTTCAAAGGATAACGGAAATGAGATAGATCTGGAATGGCGATTTTTTATTTGTTTTGAAATAAATACCTAAAAACTGTATTCATGTACATTAGTTCCCATTTGCAGTGTCTACACACATGTGAATTAAATTGAATGTGAAAAAAGTCTGTGATAATAAAAAATGAGAATCCTGACATGAAATGATGCTTGCTATGAAATGAAGACTATATATTTAGTAAACGTTCCAAACATCATGATTAATCATGTGACAGCAATAAGAACCTTTACAGTTATAAAATGAAGACAATATTTAATAAACATTCCAATTTGCAATTAGAACCTTTGCAGCTACAAAATGAAGACAATATTTAGTAAACATTCCAATTTGCATTTAGAACCTTTACAGTTATAAAATGAAGACAATATTTAGTAAACATTCCAATTTGCATTTAGAACCTTTACAGTTATAAAATGAAGACAATATTTAGGAGATAAACCTAGTGTGTTTGAAAATCAGAGACATTACTGAATTAAATTGATTGGAACCTAAATTTGCTGAGGTTGGAATTGAAATATTTTAGTCGCCATCAATTCAGTAAAGCATGTCTCTGATTTTCAAACACACTAGGGTTATCTCCATTCTACCATGAACCATTTAAAATCGAACTTCCTCGCCTCATGGAAGACACTGCGTAATCCGGCATGGGACGAGAGGTAATTGAACTCATCTGTGAAGGGAGCGGTAGGTGCCGTTCAGTATTTTTTAACATTACAACATAACAATATTCTGTCCAAAGAAATCAAACTACTGTTTATTCAATACACTTATGTAATACCCGAGATCTTGGTTGTTTTTTTCATCCCAACTCCACACGACTAAAACCAGCCTATTGTTTTGTGTGCCGTGAAACTGTACCCCCTGGCCACACTATAATGGAATCGTCTGACTTACTTATTTTCTTCGAAGTAGACAGTTACGCAACAGTTTGAAATGGCGGACGAGTCAGTGTTTACATTTTGCGAAAGGTTGAAATTTGAAGTGACAGTGGGCAATACTTGACTGACTGTCGAATCTGAACCCTGCAGAATCGAAGGATAGATACTTTCCTGATCAACCTACGACCTGCAACTCATCAAAGACTGTTGATTTTTATGACCGGCCGATCATGATTTCACGTACTGCCTCCACCCCGGCATGCGACAAAAGGGTGACAGTGCTGCTGCTTAGTGTACATGCGACTAACTTGTGATTCCTTGGAACTTTGTTTTCATCGTTTGGGACTGGACTGTGTCCAAGTGTTTTTCAAAGTAGATGAACATAACAGTGACAACCTTGCAGGGAAGCTGGCAGAGAGCAGAATTATTTTGTGAACGATGCAATGGGATATGATGGAGTATGACTATGAGTGGCATAAATGTGGTGTTTTGCCAAATTTCCCATTCTAAATGGAATTAAATATACCATTTACCAGGTAGGTAAATGTTTACTAATATTTTGCTGCATATTTTGTATAGATAGGGATGTATTTTTACAAGGCTTTCTGATTTATATGTTAGATATTGTTTTGTTTATGTTTGGGGCTGTGTATTGTAATTGAGTTTGAATATTTTTATAATAGAAGGTAATATGATAGTGAGGTTCCTTCATAATTGTGTGTGTGTGTGGGGGGGGGAGGAGAATCATATAATTGTATTTTTCGAGTTTAAATAAATGTTTTATCAGCATTTCCATCACGTCTGTTCTGTTGATATTAGTCATGTTGGTGGTCAAGCTGAAGTAGTGCGGCAGTGTTCTATATGTGCGCAGTGAAGCGCAATGAAATCAAACGCATTTTTAATCCAAAAATTTCCAATTGCCTATGTGGAATATTCGAAAGTCAGCGTCAAAATCCATGGAGTTGTTGTAATGATCCACCATCATTGTGGTCAAACGGAAGTAGTTCTCACAATAAGATTTGTCAATGCGCGGTGAAGCGGCCTTACAATCAGATGAGCGTCAATCCACAATTGATGCCGTCTGATTTTTCTGAACAACCAATCAGAATCTAGTATTTTCTTGATTCATGGTAGAATTAGTAAACATTCCAATTTGCATTTAGAACCTTTTCAGCTATAAAAAGAAGACAATATTTAGTAAACATTCCAATATGCATTTAGAATTTGCAATTAGAACCTTGCAATTAGAACCGTTTCAGCTATAAAATGAAGACTATATTTACTTGACGTTCCAAAGATCATGCTGAGTCATATGACAGCAATTAGAACCGTTTTAGCTATGAAATGAAGACTTTATTTAGTTGATGTTCCAAAGATCATGCTGAATCATATGACAGCAATTAGAACCTTTATAGCAGTCCCTGGTTGATGCCTGATTCTCCATATTTTATGGAGGATGTATGACGTGACCGTCTTCAAGATATGACAATGGTTTTGTTTTTTGTAGTGGATGGGTCTCCACCAGATTTTTGGGATTTTCGAGGTTGGCCGCTGTTGCCTCAGAACCATGGCCACAGCGAACCATGTGTCTACACCCCCCAGCTGATGAAGCACATCTATGCAGACCCCAAGTTCATCCTCATCCTGAGGAACCCAACTGATAGGTAAGTATGGCGCCTCTGACAAACTTTCCTGGTATTTAGTATAAGGGGTTCAAAATCTAAGAGATACTCTCTTGTCTCCTGATGCCATGTGAGTAAGACATGTGAATTTTCTTATTGCAGCTGGAGTTGTGTCCCTTGGCTGTGCATGGATCCACTAGTATTGGGTTAGAAAATCTTTTCATGATCCTTGATTCATCAGCACCATTTACTTTAGGCTTTGTTGCCACACTACGATTACATCCTGTGTAGTTCAATCAAACACTGTTGTGCTAAACCTTGATGTGTGGAACTTATGGTTGCCTCAAGGTAAAAACTTGATCCCTTCATATCATTTCTTTATTCATACATTCATTGTGTAAAACCTCAGATACCAAAAAGTATTTACATAAGTGAATTCGGCTTTGACACAACAGTGTTTTACAACAACTTCATACTGTCTGCCTTTGCCACATGTGTTTCCACCTGTCTTTGTGAACTGTAAAAGATGTTTGCCTAAAGGAGGAAGACTATTTGTCTGGAGTTTTTTTGTGGCAGAATTTGTGGTACCAAAGTTGATCTTCTATTTCAAATTGCTCAACTTTTCAAAGCTCTGAAGATCAGAAGGTAACACAGCCTGAAACAGTATGTCAACCAGAGTTACACAGTTTCCAGGTTCATCATGTGCTCTTCTAAGTTATGAAATACCAAGATTGAGATATGCAGTTTAATTAAAATCACTCAATTTGTTACATGCTATAATAACTGTTTTCTTACAGTCTATGTTCACTTGTTCGCTTGTCATTGGTCTGTTACAGACTGTACTCAAACTGTTTTTTATCTTGTCATTGGTCTGTTATGGACTGTACTCAAGCTGTTATTTCTCTTGTCATTGGTCTGTTATGGACTGTACTCAAGCTGTTATTTCTCTTGTCATTGGTCTGTTACAGACTGTACTCAAACTGTTATTTCTCTTGTCATTGGTCTGTTATGGACTGTACTCAAGCTGTTATTTCTCTTGTCATTGGTCTGTTACAGACTGTACTCAAGCTGTTATTTCTCTTGTCATTGGTCTGTTATGGACTGTACTCAAGCTGTTATTTCTCTTGTCATTGGTCTGTTACAGACTGTACTCAAGCTGTTATTTCTCTTGTCATTGGTCTGTTACAGACTGTACTCAAACTGTTATTTCTCTTGTCATTGGTCTGTTACAGACTGTACTCAAGCTGTTATTTCTCTTGTCATTGGTCTGTTACAGACTGTACTCAAGCTGTTATTTCTCTTGTCATTGGTCTGTTACAGACTGTACTCAAACTGTTATTTCTCTTGTCATTGTTCTGTTACAGACTGTACTCAAGCTGTTATTTCTCTTGTCATTGGTCTGTTACAGACTGTACTCAAGCTGTTATTTCTCTTGTCATTGGTTCTGTTACAGACTGTACTCAAACTGTTATTTCTCTTGTCATTGGTCTGTTACAGACTGTACTCAACTGTTATTTATTTCTCTTGTTATTTCTGTTACAGACTGTACTCAAACTGTTGTCATTGGTCTGTTACAGACTGTACTCAGCTGTTATTTCTCTTGTCATTGTTCTGTTACATACTGTACTCAAACTGTTATTTCTCTTGTCATGGTTCTGTTACAGACTGTACCCAAACTGTTATTTCTCTTGTCATTGTTCTGTTACATACTGTACTCAAACTGTTATTTCTCTTGTCATTGGTCTGTTACAGACTGTACTCAAGCTGTTATTTCTCTTGTCATTGGTCTGTTACAGACTGTACTCAAACTGTTATTTCTCTTGTCATTGGTCTGTTACAGACTGTACTCAAGCTGTTATTTCTCTTGTCATTGGTCTGTTACAGACTGTACTCAAGTTGTTATTTCTCTTGTCATTGGTCTGTTACAGACTGTACTCAAGCTGTTATTTCTCTTGTCATTGGTCTGTTACAGACTGAACTCAAGCTGTTATTTCTCTTGTCATTGTTCTGTTACATACTGTACTCAAACTGTTATTTCTCTTGTCATTGGTCTGTTACAGACTGTACTCAAGTTGTTATTTCTCTTGTCATTGGTCTGTTACAGACTGAACTCAAGCTGTTATTTCTCTTGTCATGGTTCTGTTACAGACTGTACCCAAACTGTTATTTCTCTTTTCATTGTTCTGTTACAGACTGTACTCAAACTGTTATTTCTCTTGTCATTGGTCTGTTACGGACTGTACCCAAACTGTTATTTCTCTTGTCATTGGTCTGTTACAGACTGTACTCAAGCTGTTATTTCTCTTGTCATTGGTCTGTTACAGACTGTACTCAAGCTGTTATTTCTCTTGTGATTGGTCAGTTACAGACTGAACTCAAGCTGTTATTTCTCTTGTCATGGTTCTGTTACAGACTGTACCCAAACTGTTATTTCTCTTGTCATTGGTCTGTTACAGACTGTACTCAAGCTGTTATTTCTCTTGTCATTGGTCTGTTACAGACTGTACTCAAGCTGTTATTTCTCTTGTCATTGGTCTGTTACAGACTGTACTCAAGCTGTTATTTCTCTTGTGATTGGTCAGTTACAGACTGAACTCAAGCTGTTATTTCTCTTGTCATGGTTCTGTTACAGACTGTACCCAAACTGTTATTTCTCTTGTCATTGTTCTGTTACAGACTGTACTCAAGCTGTTATTTCTCTTGTGATTGGTCAGTTACAGACTGAACTCAAGCTGTTATTTCTCTTGTCATGGTTCTGTTACAGACTGTACCCAAACTGTTATTTCTCTTGTCATTGTTCTGTTACAGACTGTACTCAAGCTGTTATTTCTCTTGTCATTGGTCTGTTGCAGACTGAACTCAAGCTGTTATTTCTCTTGTCATGGTTCTGTTACAGACTGTACCCAAACTGTTATTTCTCTTTTCATTGTTCTGTTACAGACTGTACTCAAGCTGTTATTTCTCTTGTCATGGTTCTGTTACAGACTGTACTCAAACTGTTATTTCTCTTGTCATTGGTCTGTTACGGACTGTACCCAAACTGTTATTTCTCTTGTCATTGGTCTGTTACAGACTGAACTCAAGCTGTTATTTCTCTTGTCATTGTTCTGTTACAGACTGTACTCAAGCTGTTATATCTCTTGTCATTGGTCTGTTACAGACTGTACCCAAACTGTTCTTTCTCTTGTCATTGGTCTGTTACAGACTGTACTCAAGTTGTTATTTCTCTTGTCATTGTTCTGTTACGGACTGTACCCAAACTGTTATTTCTCTTGTCATTGGGACCCGTGAAGATCCGGGGTAGAATAGGTCTTCAGCAACCCATGTGCTTGCCATAAAAAGGCGACTATCTTGTCGTAAGAGGCGACTAACGGGATCGGGTGGTCAGTTTCGCTGACTTGGTTGACAAATGTCATCGGTTCCCAATTGCGCAGATCGATGCTCATGCTGTTGATCACTGGATTGTCTGGTCCAGACTCGATTATTTACAGACCGACGCCATATAGCTGGAATATTGCTGAGTGCGGCGTAAAACTAAACTCACTCACTCACTCTTGTCATTGGTCTGTTACAGACTGTACTCAAGCTGTTATTTCTCTTGTCATTGGTCTGTTACAGACTGTACTCAAGCTGTTATATCTCTTGTCATTGGTCTGTTACAGACTGTACCCAAACTGTTCTTTCTCTTGTCATTGGTCTGTTACAGACTGTACTCAAGTTGTTATTTCTCTTGTCATTGTTCTGTTACGGACTGTACCCAAACTGTTATTTCTCTTGTCATTGGTCTGTTACAGACTGTACTCAAGCTGTTATTTCTCTTGTCATTGTTCTGTTACAGACTGTACTCAAGCTGTTATATCTCTTGTCATTGGTCTGTTACAGACTACCCAAACTGTTCTTTCTCTTGTCATTGGTCAGTTACAGACTGTACTCAAGTTGTTATTTCTCTTGTCATTGTTCTGTTACGGACTGTACCCAAACTGTTATTTCTCTTGTCATTGGTCTGTTACAGACTGTACTCAAACTGTTATTTCTCTTGTCATTGGCCTGTTACAGACTGTACTCAAGCTGTTATTTCTCTTGTCATTGGTCTGTTACAGACTGTACTCAAGCTGTTATTTCTCTTGTCATTGGTCTGTTACAGACTGTACTCAAGCTGTTATTTCTCTTGTCATTGGTCTGTTACAGACTGTACTCAAGCTGTTATTTTCTCTTGTCATTGGTCTGTTACAGACTGAACTCAAGCTGTTATTTTCTTGTCATGGGTCTGTTACAGACTGTACTCAAACTGTTATTTCTCTTGTCATTGGTCTGTTACAGACTGTACTCAAGCTGTTATTTCTCTTGTCATTGGTCTGTTACAGACTGTACTCAAGCTGTTATTTCTCTTGTCATTGGTCTGTTACAGACTGTACTCAAGCTGTTATTTCTCTTGTCATTGGTCTGTTACAGACTGAACTCAAGCTGTTATTTCTCTTGTCATTGGTCTGTTACAGACTGTACTCAAACTGTTATTTCTCTTGTCATTGGTCTGTTACAGACTGTACTCAAGTTGTTATTTCTCTTGTCATTGGTCTGTCACAGACTGTACTCAAGCTGTTATTTCTCTTGTCATTGGTCTGTTACAGACTGTACTCAAACTGTTATTTCTCTTGTCATTGGTCTGTCACAGACTGTACTCAAACTGTTATTTCTCTTGTCATTGGTCTGTCACAGACTGTACTCAAACTGTTATTTCTCTTGTCATTGGTCTGTTACAGACTGTACTCAAGCTGTTATTTCTCTTGTCATTGGTCTGTTACAGACTGTACTCAAGCTGTTATTTCTCTTGTCATTGGTCAGTTACAGACTGAACTCAAGCTGTTATTTCTCTTGTCATTGGTCTGTTACAGACTGTACTCAAACTGTTATTTCTCTTGTCATTGGTCTGTTACAGACTGTACTCAAGCTGTTATTTCTCTTGTCATTGGTCTGTCACAGACTGTACTCAAGTTGTTATTTCTCTTGTCATTGGTCTGTTACAGACTGTACTCAAGTTGTTATTTCTCTTGTCATTGGTCTGTTACAGACTGCACTCAAGTTGTTATTTCTCTTGTCATTGGTCTGTCACAGACTGTACTCAAGCTGTTATTTCTCTTGTCATTGGTCTGTCACAGACTGTACTCAACTCAAGCTGTTATTTCTCTTGTCATTGGTCTGTTACAGACTGTACTCTAAGCTGTTATTTCTCTTGTCAGACTGTACTCAGTTCTGTTATTTCTCTTGTCATTGTTCTGTTACAGACTGTACTCAAACTGTTATTTCTCTTGTCATTGGTCTGTTACAGACTGTACTCAAGCTGTTATTTCTCTTGTCATTGGTCTGTTACAGACTGTACTCAAGTACAGACTGTTACTCAAACTGTTATTTCTCTTGTCATTGGTCTGTTACAGACTGTACTCAAGTTGTTATTTCTCTTGTCATTGGTCTGTTACAGACTGTACTCAAACTGTTATTTCTCTTGTCATTGGTCTGTTACAGACTGTACTCAAACTGTTATTTCTCTTGTCATTGGTCTGTTACAGACTGTACTCAAGCTGTTATTTCTCTTGTCATTGGTCTGTTACAGACTGTACTCAAGTTGTTATTTCTCTTGTCATTGTTCTGTTATGGACCCTACCCAAACTGTTATTTCTCCTGTTATTGTTCTGTTACAGACCCTACTCAAACTCTTATTTTACTTGTTCAATTACAGAGTGTATTCATACTGTTGTTTCACCTGTCATAGTTCTGTTACAGACCTTACTCAAAGTTATAATTTTCCTGTCTGTTACAGACTGTACCCACTCTGTAATGTTGTTTGTCATGCCGTTTCTGTTACAGACTGTACTCGCTGTTATTTCTCTTGTCATTGTTCTGTTACAGACTGTACAAAAGTTGTTATTTCTCTTGTTATTGGTCTGTTACAGACTGTACTCGTAATGTTATTTCTCTTGCATTGTTTTGTTACAGACTGTACCCGTAATGTTGTTGATCATGCCGTTTTGTTACAGACTATTTTCTGTGATGTTGTTGATCATTGCTGTTCTGTCATCACTGCTGTAATGTTGTTGATCTATTTTGTTACAGACTGTACTCGTAATGTTGTTACTGTTTTGTTACAGACTGTACTCAGAATCTTATGTTGTTTCATACTGTGCCATTTTGTTATACAGACTGTACCGTAATGTTGTTGATCATGCTGTTGTTTATCATGCCGTTTGTTACAGACTGTACTCGTAATGTTGTTGATCATGCCGTTTTTGTTACAGACTGTACTCGTAATGTTGTTGATCATGCCGTCGTAATGTTGTTGATCATGCCGTTTTGTTACATTTTGTCTGACTGTACTCGTAATGATGTTGATCATGCCATTTTGTCACAGACTGTACTCGTAATGTTGTTGATCATGCCATTTTGTCACAGACTACTCGTAATGTTGTTGATCATGCAATTTTGTTTACTCGTAATGTTGTTGATCATGCCATTTTGTCACAGACTGTACTCGTAATGTTGTTGATCATGCCGTTTTGTTACAGACTGTACTCGGACTACTTCTTCCTTCGTCAGGGTGACACACCTGAAGATTTTCATGAAGACGTGAAGAAATCCCTGCAGACTTTTGCCAACTGCCAGAAGACTCACAGCAAGAAGCAGTGCTACTTCAGCGCCTCTGTCTACAAGAGACTGGAAGTAGGTTACATCTAACAGTTATGTTGAGTTTCAAAATGACCATTTAAACTGCCCCTCCAATAATGTCCAAATACATCTGTCTAGGAATTCTTCTGTAGAGTGAATCTAGTACTCATTATTTTTCAAGATCATTTTGTTTATAAAGTCTTTGGTTGGGTGAATCTGGTAGTTCAGTGTTTGAGTATACATAGCACCAACCCAGATTACAGGTATCAAAGTTTCCTTGAGTCATGATGACATCTGGTAGTTCAGTGTTTGAGTATACATAGCACCAACCCAGATTACAGGTATCAAAGTTTCCTTGAGTCATGATGACATCTGGTAGTTCAGTGTTTGAGTATACATAGCACCAACTCAGATTACAGGTATCAAAGTTTCCTTGAGTCATGATGACATCTGGTAGTTCAGTGTTTGAGTATACATAGCACCAACTCAGATTACAGGTATCAAAGTTTCCTTGAGTCATGATGACATCTGGTAGTTCAGTGTTTGAGTATACATAGCACCAACTCAGATTACAGATATCAAAGTTTCCTTGAGTCATGATGACATCTGGTAGTTCAGTGTTTGAGTATACATAGCACCAACTCAGATTACAGGTATCAAAGTTTCCTTGAGTCATGATGACATCTGGTAGTTCAGTGTTTGAGTATACATAGCACCAACCCAGATTACAGGTATCAAAGTTTCCTTGAGTCATGATGACATCTGGTAGTTCAGTGTTTGAGTATACATAGCACCAACTCAGATTACAGGTATCAAAGTTTCCTTGAGTCATGATGACATCTGGTAGTTCAGTGTTTGAGTATACATAGCACCAACCCAGATTACAGGTATCAAAGTTTCCTTGAGTCATGATGACATCTGGTAGTTCAGTGTTTGAGTATACATAGCACCAACCCAGATTACAGGTATCAAAGTTTCCTTGAGTCATGATGACATCTGGTAGTTCAGTGTTTGAGTATACATAGCACCAACCCAGATTACAGGTATCAAAGTTTCCTTGAGTCATGATGACATCTGGTAGTTCAGTGTTTGAGTATACATAGCACCAACTCAGATTACAGGTATCAAAGTTTCCTTGAGTCATGATGACATCTGGTAGTTCAGTGTTTGAGTATACATAGCACCAACTCAGATTACAGGTATCAAAGTTTCCTTGAGTCATGATGACATCTGGTAGTTCAGTGTTTGAGTATACATAGCACCAACTCAGATTACAGGTATCAAAGTTTCCTTGAGTCATGATGACATCTGGTAGTTCAGTGTTTGAGTATACATAGCACCAACTCAGATTACAGGTATCAAAGTTTCCTTGAGTCATGATGACATCTGGTAGTTCAGTGTTTGAGTATACATAGCACCAACTCAGATTACAGATATCAAAGTTTCCTTGAGTCATGATGACATCTGGTAGTTCAGTGTTTGAGTATACATAGCACCAACTCAGATTACAGGTATCAAAGTTTCCTTGAGTCATGATGACATCTGGTAGTTCAGTGTTTGAGTATACATAGCACCAACTCAGATTACAGGTATCAAAGTTTCCTTGAGTCATGATGACATCTGGTAGTTCAGTGTTTGAGTATACATAGCACCAACTCAGATTACAGGTATCAAAGTTTCCTTGAGTCATGATGACATCTGGTAGTTCAGTGTTTGAGTATACATAGCACCAACTCAGATTACAGGTATCAAAGTTTCCTTGAGTCATGATGACATCTGGTAGTTCAGTGTTTGAGTATACATAGCACCAACTCAGATTACAGGTATCAAAGTTTCCTTGAGTCATGATGACATCTGGTAGTTCAGTGTTTGAGTATACATAGCACCAACTCAGATTACAGGTATCAAAGTTTCCTTGAGTCATGATGACATCTGGTAGTTCAGTGTTTGAGTATACATAGCACCAACTCAGATTACAGGTATCAAAGTTTCCTTGAGTCATGATGACATCTGGTAGTTCAGTGTTTGAGTATACATAGCACCAACATGATGACATCAGATTACAGGTATCAAAGTTTCCTTGAGTCATGATGACATCTGGTAGTTCAGTGTTTGAGTATACATAGCACCAACCCAGATTACACAGGTATCAAAGTTTCCTTGAGTCATGATGACATCTGGTAGTTCAGTGTTTGAGTATACATAGCACCAACTCAGATTACAGGTATCAAAGTTTCCTTGAGTCATGATGACATCTGGTAGTTCAGTGTTTGAGTATACATAGCACCAACTCAGATTACAGATATCAAAGTTTCCTTGAGTCATGATGACATCTGGTAGTTCAGTGTTTGAGTATACATAGCACCAACTCAGATTACAGGTATCAAAGTTTCCTTGAGTCATGATGACATCTGGTAGTTCAGTGTTTGAGTATACATAGCACCAACTCAGATTACAGGTATCAAAGTTTCCTTGAGTCATGATGACATCTGGTAGTTCAGTGTTTGAGTATACATAGCACCAACTCAGATTACAGGTATCAAAGTTTCCTTGAGTCATGATGACATCTGGTAGTTCAGTGTTTGAGTATACATAGCACCAACTCAGATTACAGGTATCAAAGTTTCCTTGAGTCATGATGACATCTGGTAGTTCAGTGTTTGAGTTCAGTATCAAAGTTTCCTTGAGTCATGATGACATCTGGTAGTTCAGTGTTTGAGTATACATAGCACCAACTCAGATTACAGGTATCAAAGTTTCCTTGAGTCATGATGACATCTGGTAGTTCAGTGTTTGAGTATACATAGCACCAACCCAGATTACAGATATCTGGTAGTTCAAAGTTTCCTTGAGTCATGATGACATCTGGTAGTTCAGTGTTTGAGTATACATAGCACCAACTCAGATTACAGGTATCAAAGTTTCCTTGAGTCATGATGACATCTGGTAGTTCAGTGTTTGAGTATACATAGCACCAACCCAGATTACAGGTATCAAAGTTTCCTTGAGTCATGATGACATCTGGTAGTTCAGTGTTTGAGTATACATAGCACCAACCCAGATTACAGGTATCAAAGTTTCCTTGAGTCATGATGACATCTGGTAGTTCAGTGTTTGAGTATACATAGCACCAACTCAGATTACAGGTATCAAAGTTTCCTTGAGTCATGATGACATCTGGTAGTTCAGTGTTTGAGTATACATAGCACCAACTCAGATTACAGATATCAAAGTTTCCTTGAGTCATGATGACATCTGGTAGTTCAGTGTTTGAGTATACATAGCACCAACTCAGATTACAGGTATCAAAGTTTCCTTGAGTCATGATGACATCTGGTAGTTCAGTGTTTGAGTATACATAGCACCAACTCAGATTACAGATATCAAAGTTTCCTTGAGTCATGATGACATCTGGTAGTTCAGTGTTTGAGTATACATAGCTTTCCGTGGTTTTACGACGTGTTGCTATTCCATGGCGGAAGTTTAGCATGCCACGTGGTTGAAATATTGCGTTATTAACCAAGTATTTCATGTCGCGTTGTTGCATTCACGTAATTTTCAATGTTTTGTACGTGTATATTTATGCTGTTGGGTTACGCCGTTCGCTAAATGCTCGCGTGTTTGCTTTCAGGCGTTTACGGGATGTGCTGCCTGCGGGCAAAATATTCCCCGTTCCGATAAGCATGACAAATGCTTATGCTGCCTGGAAAAGGCAGGGCATAACCCTGATATCTGTGAGTTGTGCATGGGCTTCTCCCCCCGAGCCCAGAAGAGATGGGCGGCTGACTTCCATTTTTATAAGGAATTGCATGAGGCGGGAGGGGACTTGACCCAGGAGGTTCCCCCGTCCAAGGCCAAAAAGGCTAAGCAAACTAAATCTAAGTCTTCACATAGGTCACACTCTCCGTCTCCGTCCAGTGGTTTTGATATGTCACTTATCACTCAATTGTTTCAGCAGCATACAGAGTCGAGAAGTCCCTCGTTCACGAGTCGGTTGGAGGTCTCTGGCAGGAGTTCCTCGCCCACTCTGATCGGGGGACCGAGAGTCTGGGGTGTGGTATCGCCGAGCTCGGCGCGATCCCTTGGCCTGGAGGTGTCTGTTGATCCTTTGCCTTCGGCTTTGGGTCCGGATGCCTCGGCTGCCCCGGAGGGCGAGGGTTGGCTCCCAGTCTCTCTCTCAGTGTTGGCGCAGGGTCCGTGGAGGATTCCTGGGGTCCGGTCCTCGCGCCACTCGGGTGCCGAGTCTGGAGGCCCCCCATAAGAGCCGGGGAGATTGCGGTTCTGTCCGCCTTCCTCCCGTGTCTCCGCAGGACCGGGTTCGAGTGTTGTGTCGGTGGCGGAGCTGAGAGTTCCTTGGGGCCTTCTTCACGCGGGCTGCCAAGCAAAGGCGTTAGTTCCAGGTGCCCCTTTGCCCTAGCGCGATTTAGTTCTGCACCAGGCATACCGGACTTCAAGGAAGTCTACCAGAATGGCATGCAGCAAGTGCGGGTCATGGTCCACGAGGCGTACCTTTCCTCGATACAAAGGTCGGCTTTGGAGGCGGAAGGGAGCACTGGTGACGTTTCCCCGAATGTTGTTCTGCTCCGCCAACTATCCGAAGTACAGGCCCACCTGACGCGAGACTCTTTACGGTCTGCCGCGTCTACGGTGATGTGTGCAGTCATGGGGATGCGCAAGCTGTGGCTGTTTACATCCCGTTATTCGGCAGCAACACAGCAGACCTTGCTGGCCTTTCTGTTTCGGATGGGAGCGACGTTGTTTCCGTGGGGCACAGCAGGTCATTCGGGAGGCGGCTGCAGCAGCTACCGCCTTCAAGGACTCTAAGGCCTTGTTGGAGCAACCGCGGGCTTCTTGCTCCCGCGCTCCTGTAGCGGCTTCTTCCTCCGGGGCGCAACCTACGCCCGAGTCTGCCGGCTGGCTTTCGGCCGCTGGGTAGAGGTAGGAGGTGGAGCCGTCCTGCCAAAGGTAAGGGCAAGGAGCAGGCCTCTTCATCTGGCTCCCAGCAGCCTTTTCGCGGTGTTGGGGGGTCTGCCCCGACCTCCCGTTAAACCTGC